ACTAACATGCCTTTTTGTCCCTGTGGATTTTTTATTCTGGACTTTGCATAAATGTGGAGTTACATGTGGTGTTTTCTGTCTGGTTGCTTTCACCTCACAGTGTTTCAAACATTCTTCCCTGCAGCATTCATCAGTGCTTCCTTCCTTCCAGTCTAAAAACACCTTGTTGTGGGGATAGATCACATTTGTCATCCATTTGTAGTTGATGGACATGAGGTTTGCCTCCACATTGTTCTGTGATGAATGCTGTTCTAGGAAAATTAGTGCACAGGATTTTGTCTGAGCATAAGTTTTCACCTCTCCTGGTGCACACCTAGGAGTGGAATCACCAAGGCCATTGTAACCTGTGCTCGACTTTTGAGGAAAAGAGAACACTCTCCACAGTGTCAGCCCCACCTTGCCTTCCCACCAGCAGTGACAGAGCTCCAAACTCTCCATTCCACCAGCACCGACATGTTCCTCTGTATGAGAACTTAGCCTGCTGGGTGTGCAGAAGGACCTCACTGGAGTTCTGATTTGCACTAAACTGACCGCTAGGATAGTGACAATATTTTCCTATACTTATTGGTCATTTGTACATCTTCTCTGGAATAGCTGGGGTAGTTTTTTCAAATGCAGAGATCATTGTGCAGTTTGGGTTCTTTGTAATTTCAGTTTTAAGAGTTCTTTATTGAACTGGATAGCAGACCCTCATGTCTTTGAAATGCACATTTTCTTCAGTTCTGTAGGTTGTGTTTTCACTCTTGATGATGTGAATCATTAAACAAAAGGGATATTTTTGGTTTATTTCCTTGATTTTGGTTTCTTGACAGGGTCTCACTATGTAGCCCAAGTTGACCTTGATCCTTCTGTCTCTGCTTCCCTAAAGCTTATTGCAGTCACTGCCACTGCCTTCAAAGTTTTAATTATGATAAAGTGAAAGCTATGTTGTTCGTGCAACTGTGGGACAGTCGGGTGTGGATCAGAAGAGGCTAGACCCTATATAGTCCCATATCCAGGGGTGCAGAAGGTCCAAAGGACTATATCCAAGTCCTACTCTGAGAGCAAGGACTTGACTGTGCTTCAGCAGTTGGATCACCTTCGTCCACTTCTCTGCAGGCAAGTCAGGGCCCGTGGCAGACATGGTTCTAGTGGCCATTGGGGTGGCAGCTGTCAAGATCCTGTTTCTCAGCCTCGCCTCATCTTGTTCAGGTGAACTCTGCCCTCAGGATGAAGAGGAGTATGGAGAGGGAAGAGAACCAATGCTGAATCACAGAGTTCAGTGTAAAGTAGTCAATGGGTAGGGGACCAGTCAGTGGGCTTCTGTGGACAGAAATTCACATGCGACAAAGGTCTGTCCCTAGCTCTGGTCCTATGTGGAAAGGAAGCTGGTCTCATCAAAGAGAACCTGAGGCTTGGCCTCTTCTCTCTGCCTCAGTCACCCCAACACCTGTTAGGCAGAGCATAGTGGAGGTGGCTGCTGTCCACTGTCCCCTCATATTCACGGTCTCTTCACTCACAGTGAGGTCCCAAAGAAAGGAGGTGACTAGACCAACAGCAAAAAGTGTCACAGACAAGTTCGTCAGCAGTGACGTGAGGTCTCATCATCCCACACCTCCATGGACACCTCGCCATAATGGCTCTAGGATGGCTAAGCTAGCATGGCCATTTGTGATCACCCACTACCGTGCCATCCTCGCCCACTCTCCCTGCTAAAATCCCCATGGTGCTCATTGCCTAGTGGCCTCACCTCCAACCAGAACCACATATGATCTCAGGCCCTGCCCCATCCCGATCCCTTTCTCCATCCTGAGCCTGATGATTCATGGTCCTCATCTCTTCCCCGGTCACTGAACCTATCTCACCTCCTGCTTCCATTTCTCCCCAGCATATCCCCAGAGTGTGCTCCTAGACACTGTCATTGACCATGTCCTCCATAGGCTGAGCAGCCCAGTGTCCTCACCAAGAACAGAGATGGAGCAAACACCACAACTTGTTACTGGAGGTCTTGCAGAGTCTGTGCCTGCTGGACCCCCCTCCCACAGCCTCTTCTCCCTGTTCCATGAGCCTCCCACACACATCCGCCAGGTCTCCTGGACCTGAAACTCTGCATGTATAGTTCCTGCTCCTGAATGCCTTCCCTCCTCCCTTTCCAAGTCCAGGTTCCACTGACCATCCTCAACCTCAATCCACCTGTCACTCTAGGTGATGCTTGTGATACATGCAGGGACTGTGTGCAGGATGACGTTCATCCACTCTTTATGGATGACTGTGGTAACTGATACTGAGCTCCTATGATGTACTAGGCTGCCATGGGTATCAGAGATGCCTCAGAACACACAGCTTCCCAACTTCCAGTGTCTTTCATTAAGAAGTCATGGTTCTAGAGATAAGAACAGGATGATGATTTGTGTAGGGAAATCACGTAGGGTGAGGAGTGATTCAGTTTCTGTGTCTGACAGTGAGGGGTATTGTTCAATCCAAGACTCCAAATTGACAATAAGTAGACTCTGTGCCTAGAAGGAAAGTGTGCCCAGAAGAGGGAATGAGGAACTGCGAGTGCAGTGGCTCAGAGGCAGAAGCAGTCCTAGAGGACACAAGAGACTCATGATGTATACCAGAGCAGAAGAACGAGAAGGCTGGGGGAGAGGAGTCATACCTCGAAGTGAGGCAGGAATCAGAGCCTGGAACAAGGTCACTCTATAAAAAAAAAAAGCCGGGGGAGGGGTGAAGTGACAAGTGTTGAAGAGGAACTAGAAGTTTGAAGTTTGGGGCATTGCTGCTGAGAATGTGAAATACTATATAAATCACTATCATGATTCCTCAAAAAATTTAAAAATAGAATAAGTATGTGACCATCCATTTGATGGCTGATCAAACTGAAAACAGGTTGTTGAGCCAACTTTCATGCATCCAGGGTCATAGCAACTTCATTTGCAGAAGCTAACAAGGAGGACACAGCCCAAGTGTCCATCAGCAGGTATGTGAGTAAACAAGTGTGTGTCATATGCATAATGGAGCATCACTCAGCATGGGCTACACAGCAATGGACCCTGGATCCATGACGTCAAGTGGAACAAGCCAGCCGCAAAGGGCAAATGAGGCGTCATTCCAGTCACATGAAGTACCTGGAGTGAGCAAACTAATAGACAAGGAAAGTAGATGGTGGTCGCCAGGGCAGAGGAAATTAAGAAAATACTTTTTTTTCATTGACAGTGTTGGGATCCAATCCAGAGCCTTGTGCATGCTAGGCAATTGCTCTACCTCTGAGCTACATCCCCAACCCTTAGATTTTTGAGACAGAGTCTTGCTATGAACCCTGGCTGAGCATGAACCCAACATCCTCCTGCCTCTTCTTCCCAAGAACTGGGATTTCAGGTGTGCACACTTTGGATAGATGAACATTCAGTAATGTTGATGGTTTCACAAAAATGTGAATGTGCTTCATGCTATTACTGATAGGCTTAAATGGAGTGAAATATTATTTTATGTACATTTTACCGTAAAAACAAGAAAAAATAACCAACATTTACATCTACTTCACCAAAAATGAAACATCTAATAATCGCATGAAAACATGTGATCGATATATTTGCTGCTATAAAATTACAAATTAAACCCAGAATGAGATACAAGTACAAACCAATTAGAATAACTAAAAAAAAAAAGATAAAGAAAAATTTTTAAATCCTGATAATAGAAAATTCCAATGGGGACATGCAGCAAGCAGAGCTCACATCCATTGTCAGTGGAAATTAAAATGGTGCAATCTTGCAGGAAACTGCTTGGAAATTTCATTGAAATTGAGATTTACACCAACCAAATGATCAAGCATGCTACACTTAAGAATTTATCCAAGTGAAGTACAATCCCTGTCCACAATCATCTGCATGTTAACACAGCAGCAGCTTTATTTCATTGTCACCCAGCCCTGAAACCATCCAGGAGTCCTGAGCTGGTGAAGGTGTAGAGAAAGGTGTCCATGGAAACCATGCAGCACCGTCAGCGATAAAAGAAAAATGTTATGCATACATGTGCTACATCACATGGACGACCACCAGAGGCACTACACCACATGAAGGAGGCAAACTTTAACCACCACCCCAAGTGAGGAGGAATGCCATCTGAGATAAAGCCAAAGTTTCATTTTACCTGTAGAATTCACTCATGGTGTCTCTCTGGACACCTAACCATCTACAGATATCTCTCTCGACATAGCTAACTGTGAGAAGCAGATCTGCTATGTGCTAATCTGTGTGGTGAGGACCTGAAAATTGTGGTCCACACACACCAATGGCAACACTAATGGAGCAATAGCTTCTTCTGCATTGGGTAAGAACATGGTTCCCATTTTTGTGCCACACAAGGACTACTCAAGCTTCTTTTTCTGGAGATGTTATTGACCCTTTAGGAGTCAGTACTCAACTTGCTAGGGAAAAAGTCCATGCTCACATTTTACAAATATTGCCAATATTCTACCATGGCAGGTGGTCACCTCACCAGGGCCCACAGCTCTGAAACAACACATATTTGTATAGTGAGGCCATGAGGCTCCTATATGTTTCCAGCCCCACAAATGCACGAGTCCACTATGTGTTTTCTGATAAATTAATGAATGACAAAATGCTGGCTTCATTTCACCTAAGACATCCTTCATTCCCAGAAACTCACACATACCCTACAGAATCTCACATCATCAAGAAGACAACCTCAGGGTTTAGACAAAACTGTGACACTCTGGGGTCAGGCAGGAAGTGAGCAGCTCCTGGTGTAAACAACAGTGGCAGAAAAGTCCTTCAGAAGTTTGGCAGTTGAAGGCTGAGGCAGGAGGACAGTAAGTTTTAGGCCATAAGAGATAAATTCCAGACCCTGTATAAACAAAAACCCTGTGGGACAGTGTCTCTGCTCCTCTCTGGGTGGGTACCAGGGTTCTCTTTGGTCTCTGGCTGAAGCATGTCTGTCCACTCTGTGCAGAGGTGTGGCTCTATCTGCCTGTGTGCCTGAGGTTCCTCTTCTGTGAGCCATAGAAGTCTCTTCTTCCTCCCTCACTTCCTGGGGTCATACAGTGATTTCCTGCCTTTGTGCTCCCTTCTCTGCTCCTGACAGAAACTCAGGACACTTGGCCTCCCTCTGCAATGATGGGACCCCTGCTTCTGGCCATCCTCTGGGTAGGTGAGTGGACACAGGACATAAGGTCAAAGGAGCTGGGCCAGGATAGCCATGATTTAGCCAGAGGATGTAGCAATAAGAAGCCAACACACGAGCTGGAAGTGCAGAGATCAGTGTTGGTGCAGGAGGGTCTGTGCCTCTACCTGTCCTGCAATATTGCCAAACCTTCCACCTGGACTGTCCCTGTCTATGGTTACTGGTTTCAGAAAGATGCCGATACAAACCATGACCCACCAGTGGCTACGAATAAGCCAGCTAAACCAGTGCAGAAAGGCACCCAGGGCCGGTTCCGCTTCCTCGGGGACCTCAGTAACAACTGCTCCCTGAGCATCAGAGATGTACGGAAGGACGACAATGGCTCTTACTTCTTCCGGGTGGAAGCAGGAGATTTCAAATGGAATTACTGCAACAAGCCAGTCTATGTACAGGTGACAGGTAAGTCATAGGCTCCAAGACAGCCACAGGGAAAGGTTATGTAGGCTGTCACAGGAAGTCTGGGATAGGACATCCTGGGGTGGGGGGCTCAAGGATTAAGTATGAGGGACTCAGAAGTGGAGCTGGATCAGAGCCAGGGCTTCTCTGATGCTGTATCTCAGACTCTTCCTCTTGACTCTGCATGTTACCCTCTATTCCCAGCCCTGAATCACACCCCCATATCATCATCCCGAGGACCCTGGAGCCTGGCCATCCCACCAAAGTAACTTGTTCTGCATCCTGGGCCTGTGAGCAGGGGACACCCCCTATCTTCTCCTGGATGTCAGCTGCCCTCACCTCTCCAGGCCCCAAGACTGCTCTCTCCTCAATGCTCACCCTCACTCCTCGGCCACAAGACCATGGTACCAACCTTACCTGCCAGGTGACCTTCCCTGGAGCTGATGTGACTGTAAAGAAAACCATCCAGCTCAACGTGTCCTGTGAGTGCTGGGCCAGGAAGCTTGAGTCCCTGGGTTAAGGGTTGTAGAGGGAGGGAAAGCAGGACTTGGCATATCAGAACTGGGTCCTGAAAGCTGGGAAGAGGAGGAAGGAAAGAGAACCCACACTACTTCCTCTTTCTAAGATTTTGTAGAGAAAGTGCCAACAGTCACCTCCAGTCACTGAAATGGAAACTCTCATGTCTGTCTCTCCAGATGCTCCACAGAACCTGATAATTAGTGTGTCCTGGGGAAACAGCACAGGTAGGGACAACCTCTCCTCCCTGGGGGTGGAAGTGGGGACACAGTCTCCACTCTGCAAAGAACAGCAGGCATTGCTGAGCTCAAACAGGAGGAAGGCTGAGGACAGAAGCAGGGCAGTAACAGTGGGACACTCACACTCACTCCTCACCCTACACCCTGCACAGGAGCACCCCACTCTCACTCAGGTGTCCCATGGCCTCTTCCTTGGACAGCAGTGAAAGTGACTGTCACCAGTGTCAAGCATGCACCCCGATCCCTCACCCTGCCCTCCTTCTCCATAGGACCTGAGCCCTCCCTGCTCCCTACTTTCCTTTGAGTGTGTACTGTCATTTTATAAAATAGTGAGCATGAAATTTATCTTAGTTAGTTTGAGCTTCCTTAGCAAAATGCTACAGCCTGGGTGACTTAAACAACAGAAATTTATTTCTCAAATTCTGAAGACTGAAAGTCCAAGCTCAAGGTACTGGCTCACTCAAGTGTGTTGAAGGTTCTCTTCCTGGCTCACAGATGACATTTTTGTCCCCCTCATGTCTTTCCAGGGTTGAGATGCACCAATCCCATATTCAGGACCCCACCCTCACAACCTCATCTAACCATAAATTCCTACCAAATGCCTCATTTCCAAATACTAGCACAGCTGGGGGTGAGACTTCAATGTATGGATTTGTGCATTCTGTTCAGTTCATAGCAAAATTTAATAAGATTGGGGTCATACTCTGCACCTACTGATTCTCCTTTCTTGATTGTCCTTCCACAGAAAACCTGTGCATATACACACTATCTGCGCACACGACTTTGCATCATTATAACTTTTATTTCTGGTCTCATTCATTTTTTGTGGTGCTAGAGATTGAACCCAGGGCCTCCCACATGCTACCCAAGGACTCCATCTCTGAAATACATCCCTTTATTATTTTTTAATGAAATTTGCATTTTGGAGTACTTTTTGATTTACAAGAAAACTTACAAAGATGCTGTAGAAATGTTTCCATAAATCCCTTACACAACTTCCTTCATTGTCAAAACCTTACATCCCAAGGTACAGCTAGTCACAGCTAAGAAAGAGACACTGGTACATGACCAAGTCAAACTCACTTTTTTTGCTTAAATTTATTGTCTCTTGAGATCTTTCTGTATTAGTACACTGGAAACCTTCATTCATATTAATGACTCCAAGAATTTCAACTTAAGTATGGGATATTATAAAGTATATGCCTGGTTCTACTTTTGTGGAACACTGAACTTTTGTTCATAGAAATAATACAAGTAATTTATGGATCCTTCCTCACATTTGCACCCAGACTATAAGACGATTTTCTAGAGAAGAGACTTCTGGATCACAGGGTGGAGCTGTAACTCCTGCAGACATGGCCACATTGTACTGCATGGATTTGTCTTATTTGTACTCCACAAACACTGGGCCTCTTTCCCTGGGAAACACTCCCTTCCCTGCTGACCTCCTGGGTGCATTGACTCTAGGTTTTACTATCATTTTATCAATAGACTGTGTATCTTTCATTACACATTTCATTGAGAACCTTTTGTCTTACTTTCTGAATTGAATAGATTTATACATAGGGCTAGGCACAGTGATTCACATAAGTAATCCCAAATACTGTGAGGGGCTCCAAGGAGATTGAGAGGATTACAGTTCAAGATCAGCCCGGAAAAAAAGTTAGGAGACCCCCATCTCAACAAAATAAACTGAGCCATGCCTGTAATCCCAACTATGTGGGAAAAGGAGGGTCATGGGCAAAAACAGAAGACATTCTCTGAAAAAATAACTAAAGCAAGAAGGTTAAGAGGCTTGGCTCAAGTGGTAGAGTGCAAGACCCTAAATTCAAAAGCCCATTTCCAAAAAAAAAAAGAGCTATTATTTTTTCAGTAACATTCAGTGGTGCACTTCCTGGCAGGAATCTTCTCAGGGCATCTTCCCTGGCTAACTCCCACCTGTTCTTCATGTTATTCTGTAGCTGTCCTCCTCCTCCTGGAAGTCCTCCTAGTCTGATTAGTACTGTTCAGTTATGAGGGACACCTCCAAAATCCCACCTCCATCATGAAACACATCATAGTGCTTGGTGAGAACCTGCTTTGTGGTATCATTCAGACAAGACCCTGAGCTCCTCAGACACCATTAAATTAGGCACTAGTGAACTGTAGCTGAAAGAGTGAATGTCAAACTCTTAAAGACAAGTCAGGGGTCTGAGTGGCACAGACGGCAAGGACAACAGGAGAGGGGACTAAGGCATTTCAGATGACCTCAGGTGAACTCTTGGAGAGCTGTGTGCTGCCCTCACCCTGTCCCCATGGGGCAGAGTCCACATAGAATGAACCCATCAGGCCATGAAAGAGGAATATAGACCCACATGGTATGAGTTGAAGACAGAGCCCAATGGGCCTGGGCTCAGTCTTCTCTCTGCCTCCCCAGGATCTGCAGCCCTGAGCAGTGGTTCATCTCTGCACATCCAAGAGGGTGAGTCCCTGCGCCTGGTGTGTGTCCCTGACAGCAACCCTCCTGCCACGCTGAAATGGACCAAAAAGGGCCAAACCCTGAGGACCTCACAGCCCTCCAACAATGGGGTTTTGGAGCTGCCTTGGGTGGAGCTGGAAGACCAAGGAAAATATGTCTGCCATGCTCAGAACCTGTTGGGCACTCAGACAGCCTCTGTGAGCCTCATTGTGCACAGTGAGTTGCGAGATACCTGGGGGTAGGACACATGAGTCACCACCAGGAGAGGGACCCTCTGATCCCTCTCTCCTATTCCTACAGATGTCCTGAAGCTCCTGGGCCCTTCCTGCTCCTGGGGTGCTGAGGGTCTGCACTGCAGCTGCTCCTCCCGAGCCTGGCCGCCACCCTCTCTGCGCTGGCGTCGGGGGGAGGTGCTGCTGGAGGGGATCAGTAGCAACACCTCCTTCACAGTCACCTCCAGCTCTGCTGGACCCTGGGTCAACAGCTCCCTGAACATCCACAGGGGTCTCAGCACTGACCTCAGAATAACTTGTGAAGCCCAGAGCAACCATGGGACTCAGAGTGGCACTGTCTTCCTGCTTCCAGGTCAGGGAGTTATGAAGGGCGTGGCCTGGGAAAGGGGAGACTACAATTTGGATCCTGTAAGACACCGAGGGATCAGAGAAATGGGCTGACCCAAGACTAAGGGGGGCTGGAATTCAGGGTCCTCTATCCTTTGGCTGAAGAGGGGCAGAGGGGACAGGTGACTGCCATCACATAGAGAGATGGAGACAAAGGACCTGGTACTGATGATGGTGGGCAGTCTCATCGGCCATGGATTTGAGAAGGTAGATGCTCAAGTACCTGATAAGGAGGACTGGAGATCACCCTGCTCTCTCTCTTGTCTGCAGGGAATCCAGAACCCAGGAAGGCAATGGTTCAGGGGGTCGTCGGGGGAGCTGGTGCCATGGTCCTGCTTGCCATCTGCCTCAGCCTCAGCTTCTGCATGTGAGTGATGGCTCAGGTTGGTGCAGAGGCTTCATGAGGTGGGGTGCACAGCTCAAAGAATCACCAAAACTCAGAGCCAGAGGTGGAGCACCCTGGCGAGACGATGAAGCCAGGGGTGGCTGCATTTAGTTGACATCTCCTGCCACCTTGGCAAGGGGCAAGGTCCACGCAGCAGGCCTCACACCCTGCCACTAAACCCAGCCCTTCTGAGCTCCAGCACCCAGCCAGCCCGGCTAAAAGGCCCTTGTCTCTTTCCCCAGAGTGAAGACCTGCAGGAAGAAATCCAGGCAGAAAGCAGCGAGTGGGGATGGCACCCATCCTGAGGTGAGGACCGGCTCCCTGGTGAGTGGGGTGGGCGTGTGTCCATCTGTGTTGCTGCTGGACACCTGGCCAGGTGATCCAGGGCAGCTCCCTCATCATGGCAGAGCTGAGCATTTATTCCCACAAACATCTCCTTCCCCTCAGGTTTCCTGCTGCAGCCACAGGCTGGGGACCCAGGAGCTGCCTTCCCTTCATCCCCTTCATCTCCCAGAGCCCATGGTTTTCCATGGTTGTCCCTTTCTCCTGTTAGCAAAGCTTTTCCCAGTACAGCCCCTTCCTGACAAGCCCTCTCCATCTCTCACCTGGACCCTGCACTGGCCTAGGCTCCCCAAGATGAGATTCCAGAAGTTAAATTCCCAAAGCAGTGTTGGGGGTAGGGGGAGTCTCCTCTCTGCTTGGTCTTATGGTTCAGGTCAGCACTGCCCAATACAATGGAATGTCAGCCCTGTATATAATGTAAAATGTTCTCTTAGCTACATTTTAAGATTAGATAGAGCAGGGCCTGGTGGCAAACGCCTGTAATCCCAGCTACTGGGGAAGGGGAGGCAGGAGGACCTCCAGTTTGAGGCCAGCCTGGCTAAAGTTAGCAAGACCCTGTCTCAAAACCAAAATACAAACAAAAGAGCTGGGGCGTAGCTAACCACAGTTGTCCACAGAGGCGAGGTGTAGGATTCAGTGAGATTCCTTACAGATACGGGGAATTAGGATTAAAAGTTGTTGGGTTGGGGGTGTGGCTCAGTGCTCTGCACAAGTCTATCACTCCTGAGGCCCTGTGCTCCATCCGCAGCACTACAAATAAGAATTAAAGTACAAATGAATGAGTGGAAACATGACCTAGTGAAGACTCAGGAATGAGGGTGAAATGGGTAAACGCATGAGGCCCTCAAGCCTGGAAGGTCTGTTCTGACGCCCTTCTCTCCCCCACTGCAGGATCACCTGAATGCATCCGAGTCGCACAGCACCCCATCCCACCCACCCCCTGTGGGGGAGCAGCCTGAGGCCCATTACGCCTCCCTCAGCTTCCCAACCCCGAAGTCCACCAGGCCCCAGGCCCAGGTCTCCAATACCACCGAGTACTCGGAGATCAAGATCCACAATTGATGACGGCCATCCCTCCAGCCCCAGCTCTGGCTGGACCCCCAAAAAGTCACCACTGAGGAGCATGTGTGTCGGGGACAGACTCGTGACAATAGCCTTGAGCCACATGTTATACATGAGAAAGTTGAGTTCCTTGAAGTGGGTGAAGGTCTCAGAGATTCCTGGGGTCAAATCCACACTCAGAATTAACTCAGGAAAAGCTCTGCGCCTTCACTTCCCTCTCCGTGATATTCGCTAGGTACGTTAAGTAGGAAAATGCACAATTTGTATTGTTTGGTGTCTTGATAAGTTGTGGCTCTTTGCCCTGCTGCCTCACCAGGGTGGAGCAAGATGTCATCTTTGACTCCATCGCACACTTGGTTTTGCTTTACTATTTCTAAGAGCATGGCTATATTAAAAGGTAAATCTAGCCGGGAGCTGGTGGCTCACACCTGTAATCCTACCTACTCAGGAGGCAGAAATCAGGAAGATTGTGGTTTGAAGCCAGCTCAGGCAAATAGTTCACAAGACCCTATCCTGAAAAAACCCTTCACAAAAAAAGGGGTGGTGGAGCGGCTGAAGGTGTAGGCACTGAGTTCAAATCCCAGCACCGCAAAAAAAAAGGTAAATCTACTTTTGAGTGCATGTCTCAAGTAGAGAAAATAATTCTAATACATGTACCTCACACAGAACTCATCTCCAAATTATAGAAGTAACATATAAAAGGCTTCCACTAATCAGTAAGAAGTCCACAAGCCAATGGAAAATACTGTGTGCATTCAGACATACAACAAACATACAGAAAGGTGTCTAGCTTCAGTAGTTGTCAAGAAAATGCAAATAAACAAGCTACACAACTACAAATTGGCTAAAATGACAACTAATGTCCAGGTTATCAGTTGGTGAGAATGTAAAGCTATGCAGCCCTTGTGCACTGTGGGCTGAGTAGGAATTACAAAAGTGATTGTCACTCTCTACCAACACTGAGACTCATCAACTCTGCTCCTACCAGCCTAAGCTCACAGAGCTGAGCCCCAGACACACACAAGAGCATCAACACACTGCAGCATTAAATACAATGATGCAAACGAAGTCTTACACAAGAGCCAGGCAGTTGATTTCAGGCCTGACACTCCCAGCACTGTTTGAAACAGGACTTTTCTGTCCCTCCTCCTCTCTCTCATGGTGCAATTTAGGGTTCTCTGTCTGTTCCTATAAGAACCACTTCTGGGTTTTTTTTGGTTCTTTTGTGGGTTTTTTTTTCAATACTGAGGTTTGAACTCATGATCTTAGCACTCTACCATTTCAGTCACTCCCCCAGCATTTTTCATTTTAGTTATTTTTTAGATAGAGTCTCAACCTTTTTTCTTTTTTAAATTATCATATTATTCTTGGTGACATTTACGAAAGTGCTTAGGATCTATCTTAGTTTATTATAATTATAATTATAATATTATAATTAATTAATATCTTAATTAGTTTCACCCTATCATTTCTATTATTCCCCCTCCCCCATTCCTGGAATAGTTTCAACAGGTCTCATTTCTCCATTTTCACACATGAAAATTCACCCTCCCACACCCTTTCTTTATATCCTCCCCCTCCTACTCCTACCAAACCCTGGACAGGACCTGTTTTAGCTTCCTGTTCTCCATTTTTTGAGAAAAGAAAAGCTTTTTGTTTGTTTAAGATATCTACACAGAAATGTAAGGCCATTAGGAATTGACACAATGACTTCATCCTGTACAATGAACATATGCTAAAAAATGAAAAAAATAAATGTATACAGAGACTTTCATTATGATATTTCCATGTGTATATGTGCTGTATCCCAAACTGGTTCATCCCCCCCATTTTTCTCCTTCCGTCCTTTGTCTTCTCCTTATGGTGATTTCAACAGGTTTAAAAATTCTATATTCATTCTTGTATAGAAAGTACATCAGCCACATTCACCTTCCTACTTCCTTCTTTTACCCTCCACTTTCCATTAGCCTGACCTATTTTTCATTCGTGTCCTTCATTGGTCAGGTGTCTGTTCGTTGGTTGATGGGATTTTTTTTTTTAATGGCAGTGATAAGGTTCAAACATAGGGCCTGAACATGCTCGGCAAACACTTAACTACTGAGCTACATCCTCAGCCCCAGTCAGTAGGATTTTTGCCTGCACATTCACTGTGGTTAAGTCAATGTAACCCTCTCCACTGCATTTCTTTGCCCTTTCCTCCATCCTGTGCTGTTTAACAGTCTGTGCTGTTTCCTTGTGCCTTGTTCCTACACAGTTGTCATGTATTTCATTATCATTTTTGTTCGATTCACTGTCTTTCTTTCCTTCTTTTCCTCCTTCCTTGATCTCCTCTACCAGTCTCACTTTTGGATACAGGCTTTGTACATATTTCTATGTATATATAATATTGCTTGTATTGGGCCTATATTCCACATATGAGAGAGAACATGCAGCCTTTGGCCTTCTGAACCTGGCTTACTTCATTTAAGATGATGTTCTCCAGTTCCAACCTTTACCTGAAAACAACAAAATTTCATTCTTCTTTGTGGCGAGTAAAATTCCATTGTGTATAAATACCACATTTTCTTAATCCATTCATCACTTATGGGGCATCTATGCTGTTTCCATAGCTTGGCTATTGTGAACAGTGCTGCAATAAACATGGGTGTGCAGGTGCCTTTATTGTAACCTGACTTGCATTCTTTTGATATCCCTAGGTGTGGCATTGCTGGGTAATATGGCAGTTCTATTTTTTGTTATTTGAGGAGCCTTCATTCTGTTTTCCATAATGTTTGTACTAATTTACATTCCCACCAGTCGTGCGTGAGGGTTCCTTTCCTTTGTTGTTGTTTGTGTTCTTGATGATAACTGTTCTAACAGGAGTGAGGTGGAATCTTAATGTGGTTTTGATTTGCATTTCTTTTACACCCAGGAATGGTGAGAATTTTTTCATGTGTTTTGTTTCTTTGTTTTTTGGCCATTTGAACTTCTTCCCTTGAAAAAGCTCTGTTCAGTTAATTTGCCCATTTCTTCATTGGGTTATTGATTCTTTGGGGAGGGTTAGGTTTTTGACTCTTGTATATTCTGCTTATTAATCCCTGGTCAGATGTATAGCTAGCAAATATTTTCTCCCATTCTATGGGCAGCCTCTTCAATCTGGTGGCCATTTCTTTTGTTGTGCAGAAGCTTCTTAGTTTCAAGTAGTCTCATTTGTCAATCTTTTCTCTCAGTTGCTGAGCCATTTGAGTTCTATTTAGAAAGTCATTGCCTATGCCTATTAGCTCCAGTGTATTCTCTGCTCTTTCCTGCACTAACTTCAAAGTTTAGGGCCTTATATTAAGGTCCTCAGTCTACTTTGAGCTGATACTTGTACAGGGGGAAAGACATGGATCTAGTTGCAGTTTTTTGCAGGCAGTTAACTACTTTGCCCAGCAACATTTGTTGAAGAGGCTGTCTTTTCTCCATCGTGTGTTTTTGATGCCTCTGACAAAAATAAGGTGGGCATAGCTGTGTGGCTTCATATCTGGGTCCTCTATTCTGTTCCAATGGTCTTCATGTCTGTTTTTGTGCCAGTACCATGCTGTTTTTATTGTTATTGCTTTGTAATATAGTTTGAAGTCAGGTATTGTGATACCTCCGGCATTGCTCTTTTTGCTGAGTATTGCCTTGGCTATTCGCAGGCTCTTGTGCTTCCAAATAAACTTTCGGGTAGATTTTTCAATCTCTTTGATGAATGTCATTCGGATTTTGATAGGAATTGCACTGAACATATAGATTGGTTTTGGGAGTAAAGCCATTTTTACTATGTTGATTCTACCAATCCATGAGCATGGGAGATCTCTCCACCTTCTGTAGTCTTCCTCAGTCTCTTTCTTCAGTGGTTTGTTGTTTTCATTGTAGAGATCTTTCACTTCCTTTCTTAAGTTTATTCTCAGGTATTTTTTCTCAGGCTATTGTAATTGGAATTGTTTTCCTGCATTCTTTCTCAGTCTGTTCATTGTTGGTGTATAGAAAGGCTACTGATGTTTGTCTCAAACTCTTTTGTCTGGGTGAGAGTGCCTTGGACCACGATCTCCTACTCGCTCTTCCAGTGTAGCTAGGATTATAAGCATGTAACACCTTGCCCAGTTTTTCTGCAGAGAGATGATCTTGCTAACTTTTTGGCTAAGCTGGCCTCTAACCATACCCTTATCATCTCTGCTACCTAAGTACCTGGGATTCTAATAGGTATGAGTGACGGACCTGGCCCCAACCATTTCTTGAATGTAGTGAGTGTGCACACCTTCCTCCCACTCTCCATGGACTGTGAGCTCCCCTGGTCACAGCACAAATAGCCTGATGTCCAGTGATGAAGTAGAAATAACCCAAATACCCATCAACTGATGAATGGATACACACACTGTGGTCTGTGCAGAAAATGGAGTATCATTCAGCCATGAAAAGGACTGAAATGCAGATGGTGCTGCAGCATGGATAAACCTCAGGGACTTGAAGCTGTGTGAGAGAAGCCAGACATGAATTGATCACATATTGTATGACTCTATTCATATGAAATGTCCAGAAAAGAGAAATGCAAGTTACACTGGTAGTAGCCAGGGACTGGGGAGGAGGAAATAGGCAGTGATTTCTTGGTGGATATGGGGTCCTATTTTAGGGTGATTAGAATGTTTTGTGACCAGGTAGATGTGGTGGTGACACAACATTGAGACTGTACTAAATGCCATGGAATTGCTTGCTTTAAAATGGGTCATCTAATGGTACATGAATTTCACCTCAATAAAAAAAATAATAATGGTTGGTGCTAATGCCTCACGCCTATAATCCTAGCTACTTGGGAAGCTGATATCAAGAGGATCATGATTCAAGGCCAGCACAGGCAAAAAGTTCATGGGACCCCCATCTCAACCAATAACCCTGGCAAGGTGGGAAGTGTAAAATAGGAGAACCACAATCCAGGCCAGCCTAGGAAAAAGTGAGCTCCTATCTCCACAATAACCAGAGCAAAAACGGCAGCTGGTATGGCTGGAATGGCAGAGGACCTGCCTAACAAGTGCAAAGCCCTGAGTTCTAACCCTAGTACAACCAAAAAATAAATTAATAATAATAATGTATACTTTGCAGTCACAGCTTCATGACTGGAACACCTGATCCCCTGCTACTTTTGCTCACCTGTTACCTGGGGCAAAAATGCACTTAGTTAATTTATTCATCTTGGGAATTCTGGGAATTACCATGTGCAGTTGGTTTGGCCCAGTGAGGCCCAAAAATGGTGAGCTTGGAAGACCACCTAAAGTGCATCAGTCCAAGACCAAATGCCACCCAGGTAATCATTCAATTTGCTAAGTAACCTTCAGGTGTCCAGCTGTAGACTTGCTCTCCACTTACAACCAGTGGGTTTCTTTGTGGTCAGGATGGAATTAATGCTGATATACAAATTGACAAAGGAGAAGTTTAAAACCCACTTTACATCTTTGTGGTCACTTTGTTTCACTTCGCTCTCCCTCATCTATTCCCA